GAATTAGGAAGTTCTCTCAAGGAGCATAACTGCAACAACAGTGATTTGGCAGAGTTGAGAGCAACTTTGTAGGATCATTGGGTTCAACTTGGAATCTAAAGACAGTGATCCGAGTGCTACCAGCACTTCTAAAGACAACAACATGCAGAACCCCACTGCTGCCTTTGCTTTATGCCCTTTGCCTCCGGCTATGGGCTCAGTGTGTAGTGCCTCAGGATCTACAAGCATTCATAGTTTCTTTTCTTGAAGGTAAAAATGGGAGGGTTTTACTCTTTCAAAGAGGGAAAAAGATCCATTCATTCATTTATTTTAAAACAATATTAAAACTATGCTGATTGTCCATCATTATTACTTATTGCTTTTGAATAATATTTTACCATACAACGCTAGCAATTTATATTTGTGTTGAAAAACTCAGTTTTTTTTTTGTTTTTTTTTTTTAGTGTTTTGTATGTTTGGAGTGAGTGTTTAGGTGAAGGGTTCAAACTAATGTTTTATTAGCAGCAAACCTATTATTAACAGAGTTATTTTTCTTTAAGAGAAACCTGCTAACTAGAAAGAGCCTCCCCAAAGAGAAAAATGTGCCCCTTCATTTGAATTTGATTAGAATAAAAAAGACAAAGAGCATGACATAAAAAGAAAGTTTGAATATGTATATTTGTTACGGTAATTTGGTATTATAAAATGTAATTCCATTAGCAAAAACAGAAATATTTAAGCACATAAATCTTAAATTACATAAGCTAATTCATTTTTGATAAATTAACGATAAAAAATAAATTAACCCTTTCTTGGGTTTGATTTAACGGGACATTTTTTTTTTAGAGGGTGATATTTAATACCTGTATTTATTTAAATAAAGGTCAAGACCACAACCTTTTCATCAAAATGCAATTGAAAGGAAGAAAAAAATGTATCCAAACAACTTCTAGAGCGGTGCAGAAAAAGAATATTAAACTTGCTGAAGAAAAACAAAAATATAGTACGTGAATAATTGTGTAAATGTTGTCTGGTCCAAAGTATAAATATATTGTCTTCAATATTCTGGTAACATGGACAATAAAGACACAAAATGATTTCTCAGATTTAGGCTCAAAACTAAAAAGAAGCAAAGCGAGGGTAAAAGTCTGCCTACATTTGATCATTACTGCAGTGAGTGGACCACTCAATGGGCAGGAGGAGTTACAACTTTTAGCTTTTGCCTTTTATTATGAATGAAACAGCTCTCCACAGTTATCACACAGGTTTTTGATAAAGCAGAACTTACAGTATTTAACTGTGTAAAAAAACAGTAGAAGCCCTTAACATTAAATGGATTCCTTTTCCAGTCTCCACAGGAAGGTGGTTCAGTCACTATAACGTTACGACAGTAAAGCCTGAGAGCTTCGGCTTTTCACAAGATGTCATGTTTTCAGAGGATAATAAACGAGACTATTCATATCTATGTATACATATAGTGTCGGCGCTGCAGGCAGGAAATATGAGCACTGTTTCTATGACTGCTGCCTTTATCTTCCCATCATTACTCCAGGACTGCAGACAGTCGAGATGAGCTTATAAGTGAGCGCCTCATTAAACGACTTCTGTTATCCAGCTATGTGATTCTCTGGAGAGAGGAAAAAAGACTTGGAGCCAGGATTTAGTCCTATGTAAAATGGATCTCCATTGGATGAGGATTTTTTTAATTGTTAAATGGAAGAGAAATTCACCCCTTTTTTTTAAACAGTAACCACTAAAACTCCTACAACCAGTAATATGCATAACAATCTCCCCTGCATTTAATTGATTTGAGGATCATACTCTGGATTTCTAGGAATTTTAAAGGCATGTATATCATTTAAACCCTTTTCCCTCATCTTCTATTTTCCATCAAATACACATCTTTGATAAGCAATACAATCCCTCTCTCCCTTGATGATTACAGCTCTTTTTCCACAGCCCCTTATTGCTACATTTTCTAATACATAAAGGCATAAAATGGGCAGTTAAAGGTTTGTTTTATTCAGTGGAGGGGTCAGATTAAGTTCCTCCACACACCAAAACTCAATCTAGTACCCTGCTGTTTATTAACCCTGCTTCTATCATGGAGTGCACTGGACGGTTTTTATAGCTTAATAACTGCAGACATGTAAAATAAACAGCTAGGTTACAGCAGTTGGAGAGAAAGTGGTTTTAGCAGGCAGGCTCTAGAACATGTAATGAGGAAGAGATAGGGCTGCTGTCTCACTGCTTCTTCACACTTTCTATAAGAAATCAGCTAGAAGGCAGCTGTTAAATTGAGACCTTTACATTCCAAACTACTTGCACCACACACCGCAACTATCAGAACCACCTGCAGGGATTTTGTACCTGCCTGTATGTGATTGCTGTTTTCAATTTGCATCAAAGTATGTATCTCCCTTAAGGCCAGAACACACCCAATGCGATTTTGTATCTAATCCAACAGAAAATCGTGTCGGACGAGGTCCAAAGTCAATGGGGATGATCACACCTGCCGCGCAGAATCTGACTGGGGTAAATAGAGTAAGACCACGGGTCTATTTTAGTCGGACTATGCATCAATTTAGCGGCGATTTTAGGGGTGTCAGGAAGAGAGATGCGTTGACAAAGTAAAACACATCTGCTTTGGGGGGAAATAACAAATAAAATCTGTTAATCGCACGGAGAAATAGTCCGTTTTGGAGTCGCACATTGGGTATATAGTAAGCGTGACAGACTGCTGCAAAAACAATGAATGAAACATTAAAAAAATAAAACTTTACCCATGATAGGATTTCAGGAGAATTCAGTCAGCACATAAACTGTCCCAAAGCGTTTATTGCTGTTTTCCTTTTCTTCTGATGTAGATCTCATTATGTTTTTAATATAGGGACATTCTCTATAGGTTCTGGTTTGAGATGCTGCACAGACTCGTTAAGTGGGGAGCTGTCCCGGTGTTTTTTTTTTTTTTACATTTTTTATAACTTTTAATAATCCAATGCAAATGTGGGAAATTGCTTTAATTTTTGTGGCAAAGAGACAGCAGTATTTTTTTTTTTACTGCCCATAATCTGTGCAGATTTGGCCACCCTGCCTAGTTGGAGCCTCTCTTTGCAGTCAGTGTGACATTGTAAAAAATCCAAGCACTATAAAAACTTTTCCCAAAAACAAAAGTATCCAACCATCCATTCTTTACTGTGTATTTTCTTCTTCAGGTGGAAGGAGATAGTCTTTGGAATGAGATAGTTCCATGGCATTAATTTTAGTTCATTTTCCTTCTATGTGCTGTGTAGGGCTGGGTATTGTTAAAAAATTTTCGGTTCCGGTACCAATACCGATACCTTCACTTCGATACCGGTTCCTGAACAATACTTTTTTCGATACCAGTTTTATAATATCAATTCGAAGAAAAAGAGAATTACACAACATAAAAAAGTACAAATCTTGAGTTTTATTTTAAGCTCTGATTTTTCCATTTACATTTTTCCTCTTACATAAAAAAATAAAAGTCTAATATTCACTGTTACATTGTGAGGACCTTTTTACTTAGCAGTTTTCCTTTAGAAAAATTACCATGTCTGACAAACAAGCCCGTTGAATGGGATCCTACTGACAGCGCACCGCTGGTATGTGGGGGTCTGAGCGGCTCCGACAGAAAGAATATTGGAAGGCAGGATGAACTGACTGCACTGATTACGTTTTCAGGTGGATTTTCCCACTTAAAAACATAATAAAACTACTTTATTCCCACTGATCACAGCAAATATAGCTGCAAGGCAAATAAAGGATAGAGTAGCTCCGCCCAACGCGCGTTAGAGCCACTTTGCGACCGCGCAGCCAGAGCAGCAAAGCTTCTTCAGCCACGCGTCAGAAGCCGGAACATGCAGCAAAAAAGGAAGCAGCAGACGTGATTTTGCTGCTCCTGCTGCAGCATGATTCATTCCGCTCTGGCTTTGCACTGCCCACAGGCTGCTGAGAGGAGGATGGTCGCGCCGGCTGCGGTCCGCTCTTCTTGCAGTCAAACACCGAGCAACTTTCTGCTCTTAAATTGTTTCCGTACACGATGTATTGCATTGCGCACTATTAGCATCAGTCTTAATAAAGTGAAGCCACACTTTTGACCTGGGGGGCATTTTAAAGGGGTTCCACGATGCTGCAACCAGTTCACAACAGATACACATGACCCTGGCTGTAGGCGGGACCACCTGTGTATTTTTCCTGGATGACGCAATCACGTTAACTGTTCCAGCCAATCACCGAAACTTGGTACCGAAAGACGAGGCATGTTTTGATACTCTGTAGAACCGAAGCATTTCAGTCGGTACCATAAAAGAACCGAAGTTCGGTACCCAGCCCTAGTGCTGTGATCGATGTGTGGCAACATCATTAAACCAATATCTAATCTGTTAACGTTCTGTCTGCCCTGCAGCTAAACCATATGGGGGACTTTTAAGGTGACAGGTCTTTTTCCAGAAAGAGGGGAAAATAACGGCCTCTGAACTCTTTCTAGCCTGTTGAAAAGCTCATAGATTTAATTAACAGCTTTAATTCTCACTGTGGGTGTTAAAAAGACGTCATCATGTGACAGCAGTCAAACTCTTTGCCTTTTTTCTGCTCCTCACAGAAGCAGCAGAATGAAAACTGATCTAACACAACAAGAACCCATCAATTTACCCCCAATTAAATGAAGCTAGACGTTATACGTTAAAGAATGAAATTAGTAACTTTCAAGTTAACCAACATTGTTTACACACTAATTTTCATCAGTAGATCTCCTTAAATCCTTCTGCTCTTCAGACACATTTGTTTTCATTTACCTGCGACATTTAATTTGATCTGTTCCAGATCATCAGCAATGATTATTGCCCTGGTTTTCATCACAAAGGACAGAAATGCTTTTTACCACTTACTGGATCTGCAACCTGCTGAATTTATACAACTCAACAGTAAATCATAGACATTGAGGTCATTGATCCTAAAATGATGAATTTCCATTGAAGTCCACATCCCATAGAACTTACTAGTAAAGCACTTCATTGGCCTCGTGTCTCTCGTAGCGCACCGTCTCACACATTATTCTGTGGAAACAGAGCAAGAAGAATGTCAGTCATCAGCAGCAGAAATAACTCATTTATTACGCCTAGTAAAACCAAGCCAGAATAAAAAGCTTCAGTAAATATTGATTTTATGTTACATAAACAACATTCCGAACATTTCTACGAGTTATTTTCCACCACAGTCAATGATGTGCAGCAACCACATTGTTAAATGTTTAGATAAACCAACAGGCTGAGACTCTGAGCTGCATTTAATGAAGCTGCAGGTGGAAGGGAAGTCTGATCCTCTGGTGTAACATTCTCTAAGATTTCAATAAGACTGCATGTTATTTAAATACAAGACTTAGCTGCAATCAGAGCTGCACAATGTCTTTAAAAGCATCATTCAACATTAAAACAGCTAAGAACTGCTTGAATTTAATAATTGGGGGCTTTACCAGTTTGGCTGCAATGCATTTTAACTATCTTTTGCTACAATTAGCGATGCACCGATGCCCCTTTTTTTCAATCCAATCTGATACCCGGACTGAGCGTATTGTCTGATATCCGATACGATCTATTACAACTGTTAAATGAATGAACCGCCTATCTTGCCATGTGAGTGAAGCCTTTAGCCTTGACAAAAAACATTGTTCAAAAAGCTAACAAATTAACACACAATAAAAATCTACTTTACTTCATTTATTTACAAATAAGCAACAAAAAGAAAGACGTAATATTTTCATGTTAAGTGCACTTGATGGGTTCTATAATATCCGATAAATCACAAATATCCAATCGAGCTAATTAGTCAATATTGAAGCCGATATCCCATCCAGGTATTGTACTGGTGCATTTCCAGTTACAATATATTTATTATTTTTGCTGGATGGATTTTCAGCTTCCTTATGCGCTCTCTGAATCTCAATATTTTAGTCCAAGTGGACATCCTCACAGTAGGAGCAATGAACATCAGTGTGTACAGTGTTAAAATCACAAAGAATTGTTGTTCATTCAAAAATTTTATTTATCTTCTATCTGCTTGTTTCGCTACAATGCCTTCAGGTCACAGGCTGATGTCTGAAAGGGCTTCATTGGGATAATGTTGTTAATTACAGTCATTGGGGTCACGTCAACCAAAAAAACAGGCTTGAATTGGTAGCCAACCGGCCTGTCGCTTTGTTTTTTTATGGCGTTTCAAAACCTTACCAGGAGAACACCAGAGCTCTGGTTTGAGCCAAAAGAAATGTCAAAGACTCCTGGATAGGTGGAAAAACAAATCTTCAAGAAACTGAATGAATCTCCGATTGCCTTCCAATGTAAGCCTACATATATTAAGTTTGTAATTCAACAATATCACAGATTGTTGGGAGATGGAAAAAAGCAGAGGAGAGCAGGAATTAAACTGCATGTAAGCTTGCCGTCAACAAAAAAGTTCTCCTCTCTTGTTTTTTTTTAGATTATGAAGCCCAATAAAAATACTTTAGAGAAACACCTAAAAAATAAAAAAAAAACAAGCAGCTTCCTATAATTATTAGGATCTCCAGCTGCAGAATATATCTTTAAAAAAAAATCAGTTTTCTTGGTTATGTACAAAATGCAGTTGCAAAAGACGGTTTGGACTCAATATTTGCTAGACTGAAATAAATCAGGGAGCCTGCAGTGACACTCGAAATATATCCAGCCAATGCAAATGGACTTAAACTGGCCAAAGATGGACATATTTTAATCACAGAAAGGCCCAGACTTATGGATATTTTAGTAAAAATAATGATAATAGGAAATACAAAAAGAGCATGAAAATGTTACCTCATCCCCATGGCAATATTCATCTTTAATATCGCAATAGGAAACGACACTGAAAGGATAAACTCCAAATTAGGTGAGTAAAAATGGGTTGTAAATGTGATTTATGATGTCCATTGTAGGAGAGAGCAAAATGTGCAGTCTAGTTTACTCCACTGGTTCTAAAAGGCTACAGATAAAGCTAGATTTTCTCCATGTTCCAAACTGAAAAGAGAATAACAAGCAGCCCTTGTTCAGCGAACCTCATAACTAAGCTATTTATTAAGCTTTGCCTTCTAAGTATGTAATCGATTGATAGTGTGGTTTTTATTCATGCTAACCAGTTTTGCCAGCAAACAATCTGCCCTTTATCCTTTCTGCCATTAACCACCTGCACTGTCGCAGCGTGAGCCCTTAGAGTCTTTGTTAAAGAGAGGCGAAACAACAATAAAAGGTTTACGTTTGGATTAGAGGAGTTAACCTTGCAGCTTAAAGCCTAGATTCATCACTGAGTCCTCTTGAAAAAAAGCTGACCTTTATCTAATAAATCCTAAAGAGATTAGACGGACCAAGGACGCATAATTTGCTTTCTTTCAATACTGAAAGATAACTCTGCTTCAAGTGATGCAAGGATGTTTCAGTTTACTGAACCAAGTCTGAAATTTATACCAAATTTTATGAAATTCTGTCATTTATTCTTAACTAAACTCTAGAATATAACACTCTTATCTATTTGCTTTTATACAGACAAACAGAAGGGATCTCAGACTGTTTAGCTAGTATAAAATATTTAGGAAGCCATAGAGAAAAGGTCTGTTTTTTTCCCCAGATGTCTAGAAATGTCAAGAGGCTTGACAGAAAAATTCACTTTTACTGGACATCAGTGTGCACAATATTCAAAACAAACTAAAAAAAAAAAGCCCTCAAAAAACGTAGAACAACAACACATTCCTTATGTGGGAAAATTATGAGAGAAAAAAAGGATTTTACATAATCTCATAGTTAGAGGCATGTCTGGCTGCCTGGAAGACGGTAGGACTGGTGGGCTGGTCTGTGGGATTGCGAGGACATTCTTCAGGATCCAAATGGGCAGAACTGAGCAGGGATACTGCTGGGCGGGAGGCCTCTGAAGGGTCAGGCCGTGGAATGTTCTAGCTCACGGGTCGTGCGCGGAAACATTGTTCCCGGGTCAATATAATCCCTGTGTACGCACACAAGCCAGGCTGGGAACAGACTTCTAACACGCTCTGTTTGGAAAGCAGAGGCTGGGCGGGGGGGCATAGAGGCCAAAGAGCAAAACCATCTCAATACACATTAATTTTTACATCTAAATTTAACAGATTCAATCTAATATCTACATTTTCAGAAATTTATAAGCATGTCAACAACAGAACCAGTTCATTCCACGAGGTTTGACTGTCATCTCATTATATGTTAGCATCCACTTATATTTTATTATATGAATCTTAGTCACAACAAGATTTACTGCTATAAACTAATATTACTCTTTACATTTCATATACATAATTCACTTTTTTCACTCTTTTACTAGAGATTTTGCCTCTGAGTAAACACTGTTTAAAAACAATACAGACTACAGTTTCACCACTAGGAAAATATGATGTCTCCTTATTTCCACCATCCCATACCCATCACTTTGTCATGGTCACTTATTTATAATTGAGAGAGTGAAGTCATAGCATGCTACCAAATAGTACGTCCAAACACCTGTAATATAGAGCAAACTAACAATGCATTAGAAAATGTTTCCACAAACTGTGTAGCTTCACTTAAACTTAAGGCGGATGCAACAGTTAAAAGCAAATCCTCTAAACAATCTGGAAAAAGGAAGAAGTGTTATTGGCTTTATGTGCAAACATTAAAGAATTGTCCAAAATAATTAGCATGTCGCCAAGAAACACTGTTGATTTGACAGCAATATTAAATTTGCTTGATTTTTTTTCTTTAAAGAGTTTCAGCTGATTAATTCTGCCTATCTAGTCCTTTGACCCAGGCTTAGACTACTTTTATTGTCACTTCGAGGTCTGATGTGCATGAAAACATCATATCCCCTGATATATTCAACCCACTATGAGATGCAGGCAGATGGAGTGTGCTTCAGTTTGAGCCTACCTGAGCTGGTGTTCCCGCAGGTTGGACAGAGCCTCCATCCCATGGAGATAGGAGTAGACGATCTCCAGGTCCTGAGGAAGAGGAGCAGAAGGTCGGTCAGTTATAGAATCAAGTAAATCTGGACACAAAGATGCTGTCAGTTAAAATGTTAATTTCTTAGATGAAGTTTTTTTTCTATGTTCTGTGTTAAATGTTCTTTTCTTTCTTCCAATATTTGTTTAAAAAAGAAACTCTGATCAAATAATGAGCAGTTTGACAAATAATTGAAATAAAAAAAATCTTTTTTTTCCTGTAATGACTTGACAAGCTCAAATTGTTTCATCTGAATTAATGTTAATGTAGAACCTAATTTGTAAGCGTTAAATAAGTGTAGCGACATTTTGGTGCATTCATTATCTTTATGCATTTGATCAAGCGTTCAAAATGCTGCTAATTCGCCCTATTCCCGATAATCTGACCAGCGGATAACAGCAAACTATCAACAGGCTGGAATAGATGGAATAGATGGGAATAAGGCTGCTCCCAGAGCCACCACTATAAACTTGATTCAATTACTTTATAAAATGACCCAGTGAGTAACTCTCCGATTGCCTGGCCTGTGTCCAAGTCTGAGTTGAAACAAAGTGGCCCTCTCCTAGAGCTGGCAGAGAGCACAGCTACCCCACTGTCTGCTGGGGCACACTGGCCCACAGACCTCACGTCCCTGTGTTTGCGTTTGTGCTGCAGGACTAGTGGAAGCTACTGGGAAGCCTTTGTTGGCGGAAAACTGGAGGTAGATGTGGCGACGGCAGAGTGGAGGGACAACAGAGAGCTTGTCCTGAGACGCCGCCAGCAGGCACATGGAGCCACACAGGGCTGAGTGTCTGAGAGCAACAATCCTACGATTATAGAAACATTTAATGACAGTTCATGCTGATTTGGTTCTGAGGACCCTCAGAGTTACAGTCCTTCATGTGGGCCAGTTCATAAAAGCAGACCTGAGGATGATCCCTTCCTAGAAATACTAAACCACAAAAAAAAAAAAATAAAACTTCAGCCCTAAAGCGCTGCAGACAGCATAACACGTCACCAAAATGCGTTTGATTATCCATGGGGTTCTCTATCATCAGATCTAAAAATATAAACAAGAATTAAGGGTAAAGTTAGTCTGATTAGTCTGTATGAGTCATCATCATGGGGTGGTGCTTGAATTAAAAAGCGCCAATGTTAAAAGCTGTTACAGTTTAAAACCATTCAAACGTCTCATCATACTGGTACCCGGAGAACAGAACACATTACTTCCTTTTTTGTGACTGAACTGGGTGCTTTCCATGTTTAGCACTCATTAGAAAAGGTTTTTGGTTGTTGGGGTGGAAAGGAAGGAGTTTATCTTTCGGTCAGCAGGCCTGCATGGAAAGCATGCAATTTGGACATTCTTAGTGAATTTTTTACGGTTTGGATTACCTCTCAAAATCAGATCAAATACGTTTTAATAATTTAAGAAATATGAGTACATTTTTGCCCCCAAAAGATTTGAGACCAATTTTCTTTAAAAAATAACTAAAATAAGATGTTGTCTGACGTTGTAAAGTTGGACATTTTAAGAAAAAAAAGAATTCATAAGAAGAAAAAAACAGAAGTCGTCTGAGATTTTAAATCTGATATTTCTGATAAAAATGCCAGAAGTGCTTTAAAGTTTAAGAAATCCATTTATGAAAACCTTTTCTGGGTTTAAGGCAAGGCAAGTTTATTTGTATAGCACAATTCAGTATGCAGCCTTCATAAGTCTGTTTTTCCTGTGTGGGAACAGCTTCTGCCAGGTGTAGACCTACAATGAACATTACCCAAGGTGCTAATCTATCAGGACTAGTAGAAACAAAGATGACTCCTAACTAACAATAATAATTAAAGCACAGAAAGAGCTACCTGATGCAGACATGTTAAGCTTCTTCCTAAGTGTTAGGCAGACGCATATCTGAGGGGTTCATGGAACGTCTGCACCCAGGAGAAGGACCCGCATTTAGCCACTTATAGTTGGGAAGTAACCAGAAGCACGGCTCAGAAATGTATCACTTTAAACTTAAGGAACTTTTTGACGTTTTATCAGAAATTAGCTTTTCCTGAGTTTTTCCTCATAATTGTAAGCTGTTGGTTTTTTGGACAAATTTCCTTTTTTTTCTTGCAAATTTACGATTTGATGTTTAGAAACTTAGTTAAGATGTTGAAAAAGAAGTTTCCTGTAATATAAAACATTTTTAAGCTTTTTTTCCGCATTTCTTTAGTTTTTATTTGTAAATATGTGAAATTAATCTTATATTTTCTGAGGGGTCTTTTTCGGCAGAAACTTGATAGAAATTCCCTCTAATGCTGTCAAATACAGCAAAATCAAACATGTTAGATTTCCAGTGTTGTTGCTACTGAAGTACAGTGTTAATTCAATATTTGTTTAGTCTATTTCAACCACGCAAAAGCTAGTTTCTCCATATGTTAATGTTGATGCTGGGAATGAAATTCGAGCAACTCTGTTTAGTGTTATTTTAAAATTAACCCTTAACAGAGCTTCACCCAGAACTACCGCCTATCTGAAATGTTTAAAGAGAGCAGCAGCTTAGAGCGGCACAGAAGCAGACAAAGTGTTGATGGGACGTTGTTGGCTTGACACAGCAAACTGCTAAGCTATAGAGTAGAGAGCCAGGGTTGGGCCCTAGACTGAAGCTCCCGGTCCCCCCAGGGACAGCTGCCAAAAGTCAGACTACCTCTGTGAATGGTACCTGATATAACAGATGCATAACATTTTTAAAAAGCCATTTTTTCAGATACTAATCAACACAATATTGACACTGACTAACATTTAGAGCTGGCAAAGTCATCAGAGTCAATGCCTTCTGTGGTATATTGTTCTGTTCTGTTAGAGGGACGCAAACAAAACATGCCTCCACCAAAGATACTAGTCATAGTGATGAAGGTTAAGTTAGGAACAAAAAAAGGGAGAAAAGAAAAGGAAAAGATTATAGGTGAAAAGTATAAATACCGTTACAATAGAAAGTTTAAAAACAGACAGAATGTGAAAAGATATTAGAGCAAAACAAGAAACTCATAGAAAAAAAAACTATATTAAATGTAAGCCTGCGGTTCCAGCTGAACATCCCAAAATATTTCAGCTCAAATTTTCACTTAAAGCAAGAAGCCCTGAAATGTGAATCCTGGAGAAACCAATAAGCAGCACCAGTGAGTAACGTATTGTCTACAGATAACAGTGAATTAACATAATGCATAACTACATTGTACCTAAGCAATGCTACATGAAGGTGCAGCATTACAAGCATTTTCTGTAATTTTCTATTAGATAGATCATGATAGTCATTTTACTTTTGATGGTTCACATAAATCCAGCTTATTTTGTTTCATTTATATAAAGTTAGTAGTGAGAATCTCACATTTTATTTTTCATTTTAAAGCACACAGCTCAGGGTTGGTCTCTTTAAAAAACAAGCCTGATCTGCAGTAGCTGTTGCTCAGGTTATGGTGCTCCAGTCTTCCCACCTGATCAACAGTAATTTGCATTTTAAATAATCCTTCAATGACACATATTATCTCATACTCCCAACAATAACACTCAAAGTATTCTGAGAAATACAAATATTGTTTTATTATATTAAAACAGATCTCACTAAAGATTTACAAAAAAAATAAATAAATAAAAATACATAGGAAATATCCCAGATAGAGACTTTTCCGGTAAGCTGACACAGTGATATGATCCTCAGTCCTCACTGGGTCTGAAGTTCACCATGGATCTGCAGCTCATTATAAGACAACTACTGCCACCTACTGGATGACAGGATAACTAAGGTTGAAATTGTAAATTGGATTTAAAAGGGGCACAGCTTTAACCTGGCTATAGCATCTAACAACATTCACTATTGGCAAATATTCAGAAAGGAATTCAAGCAGAAGTGACATGGATCTATTTATCCCCAGCAAATAAACCTGTTTTAATATGCATCCTGGCCTGGGTGCATGATTGTATATGTGCAGCTCTCAGATTACAACATTTATTTAAAGACAAACGTTTTGCAGGTTAAAGCCAGAGCTTTAAATTGCCACTGTATTATCTTTATCTTTTATTCTTTTTGCAGCCAATAAACAAAGCATGTCAATGATTTGTTTTTACATCAATAAGTTAACTTAAAGATTTTTTTTTATCATGTAAAAGAACACATACACACATACAGTATATATTGGTCAAAGGGAAAAACCACATAACTGCAGTAGAGCCAGATCTTATTCTTCATGACTGCAAAGTACAAGAACAATCATCCGGGAATTGTTGAATCTGCTTTCACTCTTAGTAAACGTTCATACTCAAGCAAAACACATTTAGAAAACTAGTAAGTGTCTAGATCTACACACAAAAAGGAGGGATTTAGTTTAACTTCTTAAGCAATATCAGCAAACACCTGTAGGTGGCAGTGTTGCAAGTCTATTTTCCCCTTCAAAGATTGACATAACACTGAATAAAGCAGCACCACTGAGGCGCAGCCTCACACAGAGAAATATGCAGAACCATCATTTGTGGCTTCGCTTTCAAATAGTTTCGACTGACTCTGGAAAGAACGTAAAGGACCCCACTTTTTCCACTCCCCTGACTTTACATTTTTATGCTTCTCTTTAATAACAGCCTCTTTCACACAAAACACATTCAAAATCCAAATGGGGAAAAGAAAAAAGATGAAAGCTGGAGAAAAACAACACTGACCTCATCTTCATTTTTTTAATTAACTTTCTGAGCATTATATTTGAGCGAATTACTTATTTGGCAGTTTGTTCGAAGAAAAGAAGCAGAAGCTGTTTTAAAATCTGGTTTTCTATTAGTTTTAGAGGAAATTGTGTTTGATTCATGTTTTATGTTTCTGAGTAAGATGACAGGATGTTAAAGAACATAGGAAGGAACAAGCGCTGGGATTTAGAAACTACAGCAGGAAGGTAAAATCTGCTTTTAGCCAAAGTGCTGCTTGGTTATGAAAAAAAAAAGGCAAGTAACGGGCTCTGATCTAATCTATCTCTATGACGAACTAATCCTGGGAACACA